TATGGGTGTCCATGTGCAGAGGTTCCAGAATTCCTGGAGCTATTGGCAGACACAGCTGCTAGGCGTCATTTTAACGCCCAACCTCACTCATTTCATGTAGCTCGGTTCCTCCACCTCTTCAGGCAGCGGTGGTCTGTCGCTCTTCAGAGGGCCCAGTTAGTAGGATACCTAATCAAATCCAGCCAAGCGGCGGTAGCAGAAAACCCCCCCGTGGGTGGGGTACAATCAGAGCTTCATCTTGGGGATTGTTGTGCTGTGATAGAGCCTCCTATGGAGGTGTAGAAAGGCAGTTGTCTGTAGTTAGATATTTTTTTGCTTGTTGTTTTCAGTCCTAGCATCCATACCTTGCACGTTTGTACCCTTTCATATATCAATGCACGGACCATTAGAGAGAGAGAGAGAGTGAGTGAGAGAGAGGCATAGTCCTAGTCCTTAGCCTCTCTTTCTCCTTCCTCCCTAGTACTTCAGGCCTAGCCGCCTGCCTAGCGGCTCATTATTCAGTTTGTGCTTGGTTTCTTTCTCCTAACCGAGCGGGAGAGAGAGCGAGAGAGAGAGAGAGGCATAGTCCTAGTCCTTAGCCTCTCTTTCTCCATCCTCCCTAGTACTTAAGGCCTAGCCGCCTGCCTAGCGGCTCATTATTCAGTTTGTGCTTGGTTTCTTTCTCCCGCTCATGCCATCCCTGACACTAGATGGACCCCACTTTGCAATGGCCCTCCAGTTCAGGCTTGGCCTTCCCTTTTCAGCCCCCGGCACATGTGACTGCACCAAACATGTTCTTATACCAGACAAGTGGCTTCCTAACCACCTGCTGCGCTGCGCCACAGGAGGGGGGAGGACTAATACGCACAATGAGCTGAGGGACGAGTGTGTTAGGATGGCCCAGTACGCCAGGTGTCCCAGTACGGACGGACTAACACACACAACGAGCTGAGGGATGAGTGTGTGCGTATGGCTCAGGATGCGGGGTTCATAGTGCACAAGGAGAGCACGGCGTTTAGCCTGGTCGACAACAAGAAGGCCGACCTGGCCATTCGGGACAGAAGCAGTGGGGCGGTGTGGCTGGGTGACATAACCATCACTGACCCTATCAGCAAACGGGACGAGACTGCCAGGAAGGGACGGGGATGGGCAGCAAGGGAGGCAGCAGATAAGAAAATCGGGCTATACCATGGCAGAGCTGAATTTGCGGGCTTTTACCCGCTGGCAGTCGAGACCTATGGCTGCCCGTGCGACGAGGTGCAGGCTTTCCTGAAGCACCTGGCGGACAGAGCAGCACGCTTACACTTCAACGCGGACCCCTCAAGCTTCCAGGCCGCAAAGCTGCTGCACCATTTCTGCCAGCGGTGGTCTGTCGCCTTGCAAAGGGCACACGCAGTGAGCTTCCTTATCAAGATGAACCTGGCAGCCCAGAAGGAGAACTTAGCCTTAGGAGGCCCCGAGGGGGTCCTGGACCCGGGGGAGTGCTTTGCTACCCTAGAACCAGGCAATGGTAGCGAGTAGAAGACTTGGGGGGGGGGGGGGGGGGGAAGGGGTAGGGAGGAGAATAGTTAGACATACCTGTTTGTTGCTTGCTTGCTTGCCTCTGCTGTATCTCTAATCTATATCAATACAAAGGTCCGTTCGAGAGAGAGACATGCCTAGGCATTGAAGCAACCAAACATGCAAGGCATGCACATGCAGCGAGCAGGACATCTGCAAACAGACAGGCCGGTCAGGTGAGGCAGGGTAAGCAAGCAAGGCAGGCAAGCAAGACAGGGCACTGCAAGGCAAGGCCAAGTACGGCAAGCAGACCAGGCAGGCAAGCCAATCAGGCCTATCGTGCAGCAGCTGAGCCATGGCTACACAACTAGCCTATAGCTTATCCTACCTACTGAGGCATCATATCCTCCAACTCATCCTCCAGCACTTGCCATAGGTCTCCCAGGCTAGGTTCCCAAGAGTCCCTAGCGGCCTGGGGGAACGCCGCCTCGTCTGAGAGGTTTGACTTGTTCAAGTAAGACGTTGCCTGGGAGCACTGCAGCATCACAGACCTGCGCTGCCGGTAGTGTGCGGTGAGCCGTGCAGTTTCTCCTGGCAGTACTTTTTCTTGGCTGCTGAGGTGGCAAGGATTCGTAGGAACTGCTGTGTGTCAGTGGACAAAGCCCCATACGTCTCAACCGCCAGACCAAAGAAGCCTACATAGTCCGGACGTCCGTCATAAAGTCTGTGCTTCCTCGCAGATGCCTCCTCAGCCGCCCATCCTGGCGGTTTCCGTGCCCTGGTGTCGCGTTGCTGAAGCACGGGGTCAGTCACCATCACGTCCGTCACCCAGGTCTCGTTTGACTCCTTGTCTCTAATGGCCAGATCCCCTCTCTTCCTGATTATCGGTGGGGAGAAGGCCGATGTCTCATGGAAGCATGTGAAGTCCGCTTCCCTTGCCATCCTGAGAGCCGCATACACCAGTGAGTTGTGCGTTCTGACCACATCACCCCCATACCCGCACCTAAGGAGATGGTTCGGCAGACTTGTGTCAGTGATGTCCGAATACTCTCGCTCGCAGGGGCACTTCACAGTGACCGGCAAGGACATGCCCATGCGGAAACCCAGCGCCAAGGAGAACTGACCAGGGGCAAATGTAAGGTCAGCTCTCTAAGGCACGGCATGAAGCCAGTCCCCCGCCCCCACCCCTTGCATGCTGATGAGGCGTATCGCATGCCCGCAGTGTGTGCCCGGGCGGTCTGTGATCGTGTCTGCCAGCAGCTCTGCGGCTCGTCTCTCGTTGATGTGGCGGGACAGGACTAGCTGTAGGTTACCCTGTCCTGACGGCCTCTTCCTGAACGTCTGTAATGCGGTCCTCGCGGGTGCCGGCAGAGCTGCTTCCAGTGGGACCAACTGGTTGACCCCAGGTGGGGCAGGGCTCCAAGCGTAGTCAAGTAGCGTGACCGCTCGGCTCAGCAGGTACCCCTCAGGCAGGTTCATCTGCCGTAGTAGGTGTTGGGCTGCTGTGACTGATGCGATGTAGGCTGCTGGTGCCTCCGAGGTAGGGTCAATGATGCCTAGCCCCCCTAGCCTAACCGGTAGGGTGCCTTGCCGCCAAAGCAAACTCTTTTCCAGCTCACTCGCTGGGACCCGTAGTTTCACCGCTGCTAGTGCCACTCCCAACAGAGATCTGCTCCACGACCTCCATTCCTCTCTCTCCAGCACCGCCGCCGGTGTAGTCCGCAGTAGGTAGGATATCCTGCGTGAGATGCTCCCGGAGAGCATTAGCATGGCGTGCTGGGGGTGAAGCTAAGCTATAAGAGGTAGCAGAGCGGATGCTTCCGTAAGTCGCGTCTGTGCCTGGTCGGTGCAGAAAGCAGGTGTGCCTATCGGGCTCCCCAAGACTCCAATGCCAGTGGTGTTTATTGGCAGGCCCCGTGGTGGTGGGATCTCATTTCCCTCCTCCATGCTCTGTCCCCACCCTGTAGACTTGGCAATGTTGCAGCGGAGCCCGAGCGATGTTAGCTCCGTTGAGATGTTGATAAAAGTCTCATACGCAGCGTCTCTGGGTCCCACGATGGTGATGTCGTTGGCGTAGGCGACGATCGCCACCTCGGGGAGGAGTGTTGCCGTGCTCAATAGTGTTGGTTGAATCGTTGCGGAAAAAAGGAGCGGGCCTAATGGATCTCCCTGACGAACTCCTCGGCTGCTCATGATCTGGTCAACGCCAAGCCTGTGGTCCACTAAAAGCTGGGACGGGCCATCGTACAACGTGCGTACAAGGGGCACGAGTGATATCGGGCTCGATTGCGAGAGCGCCTGAAAGAACGCCGTTCGCTCAACTCTATTGAAGGCATTCTTGATGTCAAGCTGTAGTGCGACGCGAGACTCGTCCTCTTTAAGAAGCGAACGGACTGCGTGTATGATGCACTCTGCGCCGCCAGTGACCGCCATGCCAAACTGTACGGGGAGGAAGAACTCCTGAATATTTTGCAATAATTCTTTCAGGGCTGCTTTCGCCACGATGCGAAGTATTGATTCCCCTATTGTGATAGGTCTAACGCCGCCTCCCGGATTTTCCAGAGCGATGAGCCTCGAGAGAAGGAGCACCTCGCGGACGGTTTGGGTCTGGAATGTGCTAAGGAGGTAGCTGTCTGTTTTGGCGAGGAGTATGAGCACTTCTTTACTCGCTAGCGCAGGGTCTTTGAGGTGTTCGAAACAGGTGCCTGAAGGCCCTGCTCCCACTCCGTTTGGGCATCGCTTAAGTATTTTGCGAAGGCCGTCAGGGGTCACTCTCAGCGCCGAGAGGGTGTAGCCAGTAACGCAAGTCGAGGTGGGCGAGGCAGCATCGGGGAGTTTTGTCTGCAGTGCAACGAGTGTCGCCAGTGTGGCCTCCGTGAGTGGGGTTGTCCATAACGCTGCGACCGCCTTCGAGATGTTACCCTTCTTCATCAAGCCCTCCGCTCTAGCGCAAAGTCCAGCCTCATCCACTTGGTGTCATGTCAGATTTTCCATGTCGGGGATGACCTTTGCCTCTTCGAAGAGTTCCCCCCATCTGCCTTGCTGGAACTGGTGTAGCCTACCCTCGATCCCTTTCCATCGGCTTCCTTCTACTGGTTTGGGAAGTGGTCGAAGGGTCAGCCTCGGGAGGAATTGCAGGATCGCCCACGCACCCGGGCAATCGGGGTGTTTTGCTAGGCGCAGGAGTGGTGCCAGGATACAGAGGGTGTAACTCTCCAAATTTTTGGGGGGCATTCTCCGAACAAAAAAAGGTTGGTCCCCCCGCTGAAGTGGTGCCACTTCCCACGTGGCTGCCTACTGCCAGATGGCATCGTTGGCCGCGAGGTCGGCCGGCGACTGCACCTTTGGCTCTCCCGATTCTCTCTGGCTCACACCCGCTGCTACTCCGGTCTCTCCTCCCTCCTGGGGGTTTATCTCCTGGTGGTTTCCCTCCATAGGGTTTCTCCCTCCCGTAACTCGTCCTCTAACTCTTCTTGTCGTGCCTCCCTCTTCCTCGAGCGATATCGTCTATGAGGCTAGAGATGCTTCAGCTACATAATCCCCCCCGTCATCATTGTTGTCAGATTCCCCGCCTCCTGATTCGTCGGTGGCGCCTCTTGTTCTGGGCGTTCGTGGCGTTCCCGCCACGTTCCCGATCTCACAAGCGCTTCTCTTCCCCCAACGATTGCGCCTCCGCCCCGTCTTCCGCCTCGTCCCCCACGACCTCCGCCTTGGGCCCCGCGGGTCGTCTCTCCGCCTCTGCCCTCATTCTCGTTGATCTGCCCTCCCTGCCCCGCCTGTGGCGTTCTCCCCACCGGGATCCACGGTGAGTATGGCTGCCTAGTCAGGCCTCCCCTTGGCTGGCCCCAGGTGATGCCTTGTGTGCGTGTGGAGCTCCGCGTTTCACGCTGGGGTACTTGCGGTGTCACAGCTTCCGGTGCAATGTTTCCCGCCCCGTTGCTTAGAGTCCCCGCTTGCCAGACACCGTTTTCCCCTTCGTTTTCCCCACTGCCTGGCCCCACAGATGGCGGTTGACGCACTTGCGATTGTGGCGTATGCCCTTGCAGAAGCCAGCCCAGGAGGGGTCCCGGGGGGCCAGGTACCAGCCCTGCTCCGGGCCGCCTCGGTGCTGGCTGGGCGCGGAACTTCTTCACGCCATTTCCGCTAGTGGCGCGCGCAGCAGCGCCGTTCCCATGCCCCGGTGTATCGCCCGCCACCTGGTCGCGCCCCTGCGTGTCGGCGCCCACGGCAGCAACAGGCGTTTCGGCGGACCCAGCGCTAGCCGTTACACCTCCCTCGACTGGGCCTACGTCCGCTCCCACTGCAGCAGCCGTCACCACCGCTGTCTGTGCCTGTGGAGCAAGCACCGCCACCTCCGTTGCCCGTTCTTGCTCCTCCACCAGTCCCTGCATTTCATAATGCAGCATCATAGCGGGGTCCGTCACACGGTGTGAAGATGAGTCGCCGCCAGAGGCAGCGGCAGGCCCGGCAGCCTACTCCCGTTCTGCCTCCCACCCCACCGCAGCCATCGCAGATGTCGCCGCCTCCGCTGCCTCCGTCACCGCCTCCACTCGTCCATCCCGATCCTCCCCCAACGCTGTCTCCAGGGAAGATTTCGTCATCGAGCACCCCGCCGCCCCGCGGGACCTTCCTGTCGGGGTCCTTGCCACTTGCTTGTCAAGGGGCTCGTCAGGCTCAGGCCCCGCAGCACCGCTGGAGTTTGTGGGAGGACTCTCCCCCTGTTGGACGGGCCCTTCGTGTCGAGCAGTGCGTTGGGCACGTGGGGACGTGTCTGACTCTTTTGGCAACAGTCATTGACCAATTCCACGCATATCAGTCACAGCAGGCACGTCCCGAGGAGGGGTTCCCGGCAATGTCGCAGCAGGAGCAGGAGGAGGCCGTGGCGGCAGCAATGGAGATGCTGCGGATGCTGCCCGCAATCGGGCTGGTGCCGGGCTCCGCTGGCTCTGCCTTGGGGCCTGGCCCTGCTTCCTTGAGGCGGCTTGCCCTTGCCGGCCTGCAGGCCCCGCGGGACATAGTGCCAGCTGCCGCCTCTGTGCTGCGGTGGATGGACGGTTGATTATGTTGGATCCTTGCCGAGTAGCGGCTGTCTTCCCTAGGCCGGCGTGTTTGATTCCCGGCCTGGCCTTGGGCTTCCCCATGGCGTGTACACTACGCTTGGGGGAGTTGTAGTAGGTGGTGTTGTCTACCCTTGCTTTGTGTATTGCTCCATCTTATTAACTTGTTTCTCTCTATCCTTGCCACATCTCACGCGCAGCCGTAGGCCGCGCAAGCGAGTGGCGGCCGGAGCAAGCCGGCGGTTTTGGAGAGTGATATGAACTCACCAGTGAAGAATGAGCCCCATGGGCAAGGAACTAGAGAATTTATACTAGGGAAACACTGCTAAGAACGGCTAAGGACTAAGGACTAGGCTAGAGAGGCTAAAAACGGCTAAGAACTAGAGAATTTATACTAGGGAAACACTGCTCCCATATCTAGACAGTCTTTGCAACCATCACCTGCCATGCCTGTACCTTATGCACCCTATTAATACAGGACTGCTTGAGAGAGAGAGAGAGAGAGAGAGAGAGAGAGAGAGAGAGAGAGAGAGAGAGGGAGAGAGAGAGAGAGAGGGTCCTTGGAGCTAGTCCTTGGTCCCTCAGCCTCTCCCAGCCTCTCTTCCCTAGTCTTCCCTAGTATATAAGCGGCCTTGGGTCTCAATTCTCGTCATTGTTTTCTGTTGAGTTCATTTAACTCTCAGAATCCAGCGGAAAGCAGTCGCGCCCGGCCCCTCGTGCTCGCGTGGGTGGTCAGACTCCAACGGCAGGCGGAGGAGGCGCCACAACCAAAGTGCGGCAGCTTCACGCACAACACCCTGCTGATGCTCAGTTAACTGCAGATCTCGGGAAGCAAGGTTTCGCCCCTCAAGACCGGCATGCAGTTGCTCCAGGACGGTCGCCACATCAGACAAGCACTCGCCAACCCCCACCATCCGCCGCTCCCAACGCAGGACGTCAATGACGAAGTCAGAGCGAATGTCCCAATCCCGCGCCCATAGGGTCTCAGGTGGCGCGGGAGCCCACCCCTCGTGGTTCCACCACCGATCATCGCCAGAGGGATCAGGAGCGTCAGACGGAAGATCAGGAGACCGGGCGCGAGGAGGAGGGAAACGAGCGACAGGTGGAGGTACGCCAGGAACAAGTGGCTCCTGCCACTGAGGAAGCTCCACAGGGGGAACAGCGCAAGCTGGGGATGGAGCAGGAACGGGAGGTGCGGGAAGCGCCTCAGCAGAAGGCACCGACGGTGGAGGGGCCAGAGGAGGAGGCCGAGGAGAGGATGGCGCCGAGGACGGAGCCGACGGCGATAGAGAATGCTGCGACACCCGAGGGGACGTCGCCGCAGGGCCAGAGGACAGCTGCTGAGAAGACTGTAGCGACGCGGAGGGCAGAAGAGGCGGTTGCAACATCAGAAGAGGAGGAGGCGGCTGCTGCTGGAGAAGGGGGCCGACTATCTCTCGCTGGAGAGCAGGAGGGTGGTGAGGCGGGCGCCGATGACAAAAGGAGCCCTTGCGGGTCCGGAGATGAGGATGGGTGCGCCCACGAGGAGAACGATAGAATGGCTATCGGCCACGGGAAGGGGTCCCGCCCCCCCCGTGCTCGACCAAGGCAGCGGCGGCTCGAAGCAGGGCTGGCGCTAGCGCGCCCGGGTCCTCAGACGAGCTGGGAACAGCAGAAGGACCCACTGAGCGCTCCGACGGTGGGGAGGGACGGCGATTGCCCGTCATCATCTAGAAACCTGGAAGCACAGGATGAAGGAAAGGAGACACGCCGACCGGCGAATCAGGGGGGGAAAGATAGGGAAGAAGAAGAGGAGATGACGGCCCCGACAACAGCAGAACAATGGCGGCGGACTGAGACAAGCCGGTAGAGGGCCTTATAGGAGCAGGCAGAAGATCGCGCGATGGCCCAGCAGCCGCGAAACGCGGCGGGGAGAATGGCCTCAAAGGGCCGCGGGAGGGGCCGAGGCAGGGGGGGGGGCGTGGGGGAGCTAGTGAGATTGGTAGCGAGAAAAAACAACAGATCTGGAAACTGGCGGGAAAGGCATGGGAGGCTAGAAGAACTGGGCGATGAGCCAATGAATGACTCTGCGGGAGGAAACGAGTCAGAATATATGGGGGAGGAAGAGGCGAAATCAGAGGAGGTCTCCGGTTGAGGAGGGGGTCCCACTACTGAATGAGAGAAGGCGCGGACACGGAAACAAACAAGGGCGGGAAGCTAGAGATGCAAACACAGCTGCACAGGTGGGCGAATCATTAGCCCCGCAGGCCAACGAGGCCGCCAGCAAGGAGCGCTCACCAAGTGACATAGCAGGAGACGATGATGCGTGGCGGATAGTGGAGATTTGGGATCTGGATCCCCTTCGCGCCAGCTCACAACCATTCCTGATCAAGAAGCTTCCTCCATAGATACAAAAGTCCTTCAGCCACTGTATCACCATCCCGTTCCTACGACTATCGAAGCAACCGGGCTGCATAGGAGCTTGGCGAGTCCTGCAATTTCTGTCGAGGCTCACACTGAGGGCATGTACGGAGAAACTACCGAGGAAAAACTTCCAAGCGGTGGAGAAATGGCTCCACCAATTCCGAGATGAAGAGTGGGGCGGGCTATATCTACAAGCCTGCACCTTCCCCGCAAATTCCCAACTCAGTAGGCACGAACCTGACACCGAGGGTATCTGTGCAAGGGCAGAAGGGTTGGTCCGGAAGGCCAACCTAGCGAAGGCAGCAGCAGCGTTACAGACCTCGCCACTGGCAGAGCTGTCGTAGACAACACTGGAAGCACTTCGATCGAAACACCCACAGGCTGAGGTGGCGATACCTGAAGGTTTGGGGGGTTACGGAGAAACTGCACTCGCCATCAGCGCAGACTCGTTTCGCGAGGTTTTGGATAAGTGCCCGAACGGAATAGGGGCGGACCCCTCTGGCACATGCTTCGAACACCTACGTGATCCAGCCCTAACAAACGGGGAGGTATTCATGCTACTGCACAAAGTAGTCAATAACCTGATCGGCACCTACCAAGACGAACAACTACAGGACTTGCTGCTGCCATCGAGGCTAATCGTCTTGGAGAAACCGGATGGAGGTGTCCGGCCGATAGCAATAGGGGAAGCGCTTCTTAGGCTTACAGCAAAGGCTGCACGAAAGAAATTATCGGGGGAGATCCGTTCTTACTTCATGCTGGTACAATACGGGTTGGCGGTCCCAAAAGGGGGCGGAGTGCATTATACACACGGCTCAGACGCTATTGTCAGGAGACCTGACAAGAATGATATTACAATTGGATGTCGAAAACGCGTTCAACTCGGTGGAACGCGGATGCTTCCTCTCGTCACTTTGGTGGACGAGCCTTATATCACTGCTCCCCTATGCGCGGACGCTATATGGCGCACCGTCAAAACTGCTACTAGACAACAGGTTCTCCGACCGCTCCATCGAAAGCGCCTGAGGCATTCAACAGGGGGACGCGCTGGGCCCCATGCTCTTTGCGGTAGCAATACAACCGGCTCTACAGGCGGCGGCGGTGGCGGTCCCGAGCGCGACCGTGATGGCGTACGCTGACGACATCACAATCATCGGACAACCAGCAGCAACGACAAGGGCATTCAACATGATAAGCCGAGAGCTAAGCGGATTGGGCCCGTGCTGCAACCTTTCCAAATCATCGGCTTGGAGCCCCTCAGGCAACACGGGGGACTTACCGGACGGACTGGCGTCAGCGGTGGATGGAGTGCAGGTTCTCGGAAGCCCGATTGGCATGACGGCGTACTGCAGGCGCTCCCTGAGGGGAACACTGGAGCGGATAGCCGTACCGTTGGGCCTCGTCAACAAGCTACACCCACAACACGCGGGCTACTCCTCTCGAGATGCATCTCGCGTAGGATATCAGACCTCCTACCCACTAAACCAGCAGACGTCCTACCCCATGAGGAGTGGTAAGGATGGAGTGAGCGGCTGCTGTGGACAGCGCTGAAGTCTGCCCACCTCAATGTACCACCTAATGAGATAGAACAGAGCCTGGTGTGGAGGCAGGCGACGCTGCCTATCGCGCTAGGAGGCCTGGGACTCATAGACCTACTGTCGGAGGCACCGGCTGCATACCTATCATCATTGAAAGCGGTGCATACACTCCTGCAGCAAATGCCCACCTCCCCAAATCACCAACTAGAGCAGGTGGCAGTGCTGGTGTCACCAAAAGGTGAGGGAGTGGCGGTGAGAGGGGGGACAACACTCCGGGACCTGCGGAACAGACTTCCAGAGGCAGCACGGGAGCTTCTAAGAGAACCTGGACAGAATGGGGGGGGGAGGGGCCACTTGCAGGAGCAACTATCAAGGCACATCAACCTGGACCGGGCGGCGGAGCTGGTGGGCGACACTCGGATAGACAAACCTGGGGTAGACAATGGCCACGTTGTCTGGTTGATTAGCCTGCAAGGGGTAGGGGCGGGGGACTGGCTTCATGCAATTTCCACGCGGGTGGACCTGATGTTCTCGCCTGGTCAATTTGAAATAGCCCTAGGTTTCCGCCTGGGGCTGACCCTTCGAGTGACCGACAACCGCCCATGCCAAGGGGAGCGGGGGAAGATAGGCGACCGCAGCCTGACAAACCACCTGCTGCGGTGTGCGGAGGGGAAAATTCGAACAAACACACACAACACCCTAGTGTACGTGGCTCTGTGAATGGCCAGAGAGGCCGATTACTTGACTCTGCACAAGACCACGGTTTACTCGCAACCAGTCAACCCCAAGCAAGCAGACCTGGCCATCAAGGACAAGGAGTCAGCCGAGACATGGGTGACTGACGTTACAGTCACCGACCCGGTCCTGCAGCGCCATGACAACGGGGCGATGAGACCGCCAGGCTGGGCGGCAGAAGACGCGGCGAGAGGGAAGAGGGGAATGTATGAGGGACGGCTGGGGTTTGTGGGGGTGTTTGGGCAAGCAGTGGAGACATACGGGGCCCTGGCGCGAGACACGCAGAGGTTCCTACGGCTCCTCGGCACCCAGGTGGCCAAGAAGAAGTTTAGGCCGGAGAGGCTCACCACGGTAGTCTCCAAACTCACGGCCCACTACCGACAGCGCTGGTCGGTGACGCTGCAGCAGAGCGAGGCAAACACATTGCTGGCAAAGTCTAACAGGGCAACAGAAAGGGCCTTCCCCCAGGCCCCGGCTGACCCATGGGAACCCCGCCTGGGGGACCTATGGCAAGTCATTGAAGATGACTTGGATTGGGGGCCGTCCCTAGACCCGTGAGGGGCAGGAGTAAGGGCGTGTCACATCGCCAAACTTACAATTTTTTGAAAATCCGTCAGGCCGTTGTTGGCGAAGGTAACCACATAACGACGTTCGTCGAAATCCTGGCGACCGACGTTATTTCTATTTAATTTTTGCAAATTTGAGGGCCGTTTGAACGGTCCAAAACCAAACCGAACACCGTGTCGACTCCAATCCGGTCAAATAGTCGACATGGTGAGCGACAGTCACCTGCGACGTCGCAGGGTATCGCACAGCCAATGAGAATCATCGCCGTCAAATTTGCGACCCCGTCGCACATCTCCAGCTACTGTAGCACGTGCAAATGTGACAACATTGATACAACGGCCTGCAAATCGGCCATCAAAGTTGTCACATCTGCAAAACTGCAAATCCTGGTCGTGTAACATACGACACTTTGTCAACCAATCTGTTGACTTTCGCAAAAGAAATGACGACCATATGGTCGATGGATATTCGGCCAAAAGCCATTTTCGCAAATGGTTGGCGATGTGACACGCCCTAAGGGCCCCTAGGCAGGGGGCACAAGGGCAGGGACGGTCTGTCAGATTTATATGACATAGCTACTGTAGGCTATAGTGGGGTAGCACATATGGGGTACAGTTTTCTAGGGTTTACATTTCTACCCAACTTTCCCTTAGTCCATCCATTCTCGTTTCTATTCTAACATGGTATCGAGCAGGTTCCCTCGTGGGAACTGTTCCTAGGGCCCACCAATTCGACATTTTTTTTTCTGCCCGGAGCGCGCTCAGTCCTAGCCCGAGTCGCGCTCCCCCCCCCCCCTCCTTTTTTTCTCGCCCCGTCGCGCCGCCCTAGCGGCCCTGTCGCCTGCCTTGCGGCCCTCGCGCCGCCCTTCCTGGCCCCGACCCGCCGCCCGACGGCCTCGTCGCCTACCCCGCGGCCATCGCGCCGCCCTTACCCGGCCCCGATCCGCCGCCCTGCGGCCTCGTCGCCTACCCAGCGGCCCTCGCGCCGCCCTGCGGCCCTGACGCCGCCCTTTCCGGCCCCGGCGCCTACCTGCGGCCCCGACGCCTACCTGTGCGGCCCCGGCGCCTACCTGCTGGCCCCGCCACCTACCCGCGGCCCCGCCACCTACCTGTGCGGCCCCGCCACCTACCTGCGGCCCCGCCACCTACCAGCGGCCCCGCCACCTACCCGCGGCCCCGCCATCTACCTGTGCGGCCCCGCCACCTACCTGCGGCCCCGCCACCTACCAGCGGCCCCGCCACCTACCCGCGGCCCCGCCACCTACCTGTGCGGCCCCGCCACCTACCTGCTGGCCCCGCCACCTACCTGCTGGCCCCGTCACCTACCTGCTGACTGACCTCGGAGAGCCGCCTCGTTCTCCTCCAGTACTGTACGTAGACAACAAGGCCATGCTGGCCTTGTGTCGAGAGCAGAGACTGGAGCACAGAACGAAGCACATTGCTCTCCGCTACTTCCTTGCTCGTGAGCTACAGCAGCGTGGTCAGCTGCGGCTTGCGTACGTGGCCTCTCAGGCCAACACTGCTGATATCTTCACCAAGGCACTTGCGCCTTGTGATCATCAGCGCTTCTGTACTCAGCTGGGTCTTGTGCCTACCTTGACTCACTT